CACACACACACACACACACACACACACACACACACACACACACACACACACACACACACACACACATTCAATTCCTATGGAAGTTTGCATCTATAGGGACATGACAGCAAAGCAGTCTTTTACAAATTCTGCATGCGTGTGCATACTCGAGCTTTCTCTTATTCTCTCTCTTCTCTCAGTTTCTCTCTGTTTTGCACAAACACACACTCTTAAACACACATGGAGCTAGACTGACAGAAACAGGTTGTCAGCAGGGTGAGGGGTGATGTGACTCATGTCCAGCTCATTTATCTGCAATGTGTGGTGCCTATGACTTCAGTCCACCGACTCATAGGCTTCTCAAAAACTCACCCCTTCACTTAAATAAACACAACGTTACAAGAAATGTTCACATGCATTACTAAATCGAATGTGTAAAACATTTTTCAACATAAACAAAACTTCAGTTTCTTAAAGGATAAGGCCGGTGATGGTATAGAGTCTCCTATTGGAGACAAATCCATTGAAAAGTCCCAAACAAATGACAGTTTGTTTGATGGAGTCAGTCTTTAAAAGCTGGACACACGTACTTTCTCCATTGTGCATAACCCCCTAAAATTTCTGGACACCCAGTTTAGCAGTGTTGCTCACTACTGTGATAGTAAAGAGGATTGGATTCAGTTTCAATACATGTAAAAATCAGCTGATTTTCCATTTTTGTGTTGTTCGAATATTAGTTGACAGTTGTATGTTTGTGGAAAAATAGAACATAAACTGCATGGCTTTTATAATTGCAAAATGTAACAGTAAAATCAATTCATTCCAATAAAATCAAGAGTAGCTGTAAAGTAAGTTAGGTAGTGAAATTTTAGAAAAGAGACACTGGCTCTTGGGCTCTGTCTTGCACTCTCACACTGCCTCTATGTTTCTACAGGAAATAATACAAAGATTCCATTAATTTTTTCTGCAACGAAAAGTTAATTTCATCCATTCCAGCTCTAAATCTGACCCAAAAACACTGCTGAGAGCACAGAACAAAGTTTGTTTTGCTTTAAAGGCCGGAGATGTGGATACATGCAGACTAGAAACACGGGGCATTTTCCAATCTAGAAGACAACAGCAAAGATTTCAGATGTGTTTTCACTAGGGGAAATACTCCGTTTGGGTCACATGTGTGGCGATGGAGGAATGGGTGTTTGGATTGAGTAAGCAAGCTGTAAATTCTCCGAATGATTACCTGCTCTATTAACTCACAAGCTCAATAGGACATTAGAAGGATGTTGCACTGGGGAGATGGTGAGGTAAAACCTAGCTGAAATTTCACAAAGATGTCCATGTAGTAGTAGATTGGGCTACAGTATGTGAGGCGTGGGAATTTTAGCAGTTCTCTTCTGAGCTCTATCACAGCTACTGGGACATTTTTATAAACTGTTTTATTTTTTTATATCCTATCAAGTCTATCTTTAGGGTAAGTTCTGTTTTCCTTTTTACTTTTACTTTGTGTGTTTGATATACTGACATAGACCTTTTATAACCCCTAAAGTTAGTGACAAGATATGGCAGATCAGATGTAGAACAACCCTGAAAATAAATTTATTCTATCACAACTTATTGCACAAATCTAGTATGCATGGGCAAGAATGTCATGTATGTATTCATTACATTCAAGATGAATGGCATTAATTTTCTGAATGAATTCTAGTACCATATTTTTCAGACCATAAGGTGCACTGTCGATGAACAAGTCTGTTTTCATTCATAAGGTGCACCGGATTATAATGGGTGCATTAAGCGAAACAAAACAGTCAGATTAGTCAAATTTGACTCAACTTATTCTTCTTGCTTCATCCTCTACTGTACCATTGATTCATTAATGTTGAATTCTCTCGCAGCTGCTCTATTTCCGTGTTGTTTCAGTATATTAATGACTAACCTCATATTGTGGATGGATTATCTCAGTTCTCCTGACTGAAGTTTGGTCCGTTTACAACATCCTGCCATGCGATATCATTTGTCCCTAACCATCCTGAACCCGTTAACTTTTATCGAGTGGAAAAAAGTTAGCATTCATCCTCCAGCTTCACTGTGTTTATGTTATGCTAACATAACTGTGTCCCTAGCACATCATTATATACCAGCTAGGCCAACTTCAGTAACCCTGCAAACGCCACTGATGTTTAGTTTTCAGAAATCTCTCAGTCAGAGCATGCTATATCATGTTTAGGTGGAAACTAGCGAGCTAACTTCCTGCTTACTTCCTGCTAACTTCAGACTCTGTTAAATTTAATAAATTCTGTTTTCATGGATGCTAAACTTAGTTGTTACACCTGGTAAAGCAGCAACGCTGATAATTTTATTAAAGATGAAAGAATTTAGACAGTTTTTAAGTCTCAGTGATGCCGCAGTGGTTGTTCGACTTTGGGACCTGAAATTGACAGAGTCTTGGACCCAGATTACTCCGTGAGGCTCCTAACTACGGCAGCCGTAATGCTCCAACAATATGTCAAGCGGTGCGGCTCCGTAGCTTACCAAAGTCATACTAAAACATTTTTGACAGATTTTTGAGCGCCGTGTACCACATAAAATTGGTTCAAGTTCAGTAAGCACAAGCAGAATTCATACATAAGGGGCACTGGATTATAAGGCAATTTTTGAGAAACTTAAAGGATTTTGCGCCTTATATTGCGGAAAACACGGTAATAGCTATTTATCCATACATTAATTTAGAGGTTTTGTGCAGTTTTAGAAAAGCATGTGTGTGATTTACGAAAGCTGCAGTATTTTCTAAAAACAGGTGTAGTGACTTCATTTGAATATCAAGTACAAAATATAGGATGGGTTGGTTTTTGCTAATATCAGTACAATTAGCAGTGAATTGCATTTTTTAAATCAGTGTGCTTGAGTTTAAATATTCTCCTCTCTATATTTTGCACCTTACAAAAAGAACTCCCAGAAATACATGTGCAACTGGGTAAAGTGCAAAAATCTCTGAGTTCCCACCTCTTACATTGGTTTGGTGACTGCGCTGTCTTTGTAAAAACAGACAGTTTTTTTCTTTTCCAAAACCAAAAGCACAATATGTCAATAAATCTGGCCCTAAATCTCTTTTCTTACTAAGCAGGTCTGTTCATATACCAATTCAAATTGTATTTGTCAATAGAACAAAGCTATAACTCTTTTGGATCCACATATTCATAAGCAGATATCTGCTAATGTTTACTTGCTTGACTTTACTTCATATGGCTTTGTAGGCAAATTAATTTTATGCTGACCATTTCTATATCCTTTAATGTCAAACACATAGCTTCTCACATTCACCGAAACACATAAAAATACCCTGCGTGTCTTCTTCTTGAAACACACGCACATGTGCGCTCTCTTAATGACGTAAATTTTCACATTGCACACACACACACTCACAGACACACTAATTTATACTGACACACAGATGGTCTCTTCTTTGACCACAAATGTAGAGTAACTCCTGCTCCCTGCGGTGTGGCCAAGGCTCAGACTGCCAGTAAAAGCGAGGGATGCTTCATGGCTCAACAATTTGCTGGCTAAATGGAAAGGGTTTGGTGTGTGACCTCAAACACTCTCCTTTCTTCCTCTCCTTCTCCGTCTCACTTACTCTCTTCTCTTTTGTCCACTCCTGGTTTTGTTGCCCATTTCCTAATCTGATTTAATGTCATTCCAACCTTTTATTTGTTGCTATGACGTTTTACTTATTATTTTTGTTTTGCGGCAACTGAATGAAATGTTCTCAAAAGCAGGTCAAATTATTTTCTAGTATTTAGAAAATGAAAGAGGGCATTTTCAACTCCTGTTTTTTCTTCACGGCTTCAAATCAGTTCTCCTTTAGCGTGCCTTGTGTCTTTATTAACATGTTTATTTTCTCACTTCTTTTCCCACAGCTTCCAGCTCTCAGTTTTATTTTCAAGGTGCGATATGAGAGGTCAAGACCAGAGTAAGGACGCGTGAGGAAAGCAAGAAGCTCAGCTCGCAAATATGAGCAGTATGAAGAAAAACTGCATTTAAGTAAAGTGCGGTTCAGCGGGTTTATTGGGTAACAGATACGCTGAAATTGAATCCAAAATTTGGTTTAGCCAAAAAGGTTTCAATGGTATTAGAGACATTACTTCATGGGGAAGTGGCTTCTATCATGTGTAGCATGCAGAGATTAGAAATCAGCGATCAGAAAATTGAATAATTGCATCCTTGCTTCATCCAAATGCGGTTAATCTACATGTGATTGGTGTCGCAAACAATTGCTGCTGACGCTGCTTGACATCTCAGAGAGATTTAGTAAGAGATGCAGGATCACAAAATTAAAATGAACTGACAAAGACCCCCCTCTCCCCTCCCAGTCACAGTGTTTGCTTAGGGGAAATATTAGATTGTATGTGTAAAATACGACGGTGAAATTTCATACTGTGTTTCAATAACGTGAGAAAACCTCAGGAGGTGTGAGCGCTTGAATAGTCAATATCAAATCCAGTTGTCCTTTCACCTCAAAGTTAAATAAGTCCAGCCAGGTGGATTTAGGTGTGTTGCAGTAATGTGCACACACACTTACACAGCCATAAAAACAGCACGAGAGAAAAAGGAAAGACTTTTCAGATTGGAGAGGACAGGCAAGGATCAGGGGTGCAGAGGGAAAGGGTTACGGTTAACTTTCCTCTAAAGGGTGTCAAAAAAGGAACTAAATTGGGTGTCAGAAAGCACTAAGGAGTTGAAATAAGTCAGGGTCCCCCAGCTCCCATGTGGGTGGGTGCTTGCTTTATACTTTTCAGACAATGTCCCTTTAAAAGCACCACGTCTGGAAAGCCCATTAGATGTGCATATAAAATTTCCCCTGTGATTAATAGTTTGATGAGGCAGGGTTGGTTGGAGGGTACTACCAACATGTGGCCGGCAGGGCTCCTCCTCTGCAGTCTCACGTTACACTCCATAAACTTGCCACTCTTTCCCACCTATATGTTTAAAAAGGAGGAGGGCTCACTTGTCAAGAATGCCTTAGAAGAGTTGTGAAAACAGCCAGCCCGAGAACGGGAGTTATACAGTTGTGGATGCCGCTTTCCCGAAGAGCAGCAACTTGGTTAGATCTGGGAAGGAGAGAGGGTGTGTGTGAGAGCGACGCAGAAGGGAAAGTGTGTGAGAGTGTGTCAGGACCAGAGGCTCCAAAGGACGTCACGCACGCTCCCAGAGAGAGAGGGAAACGTGCTGTCACAGGAAGGTGTCTATCCTCACGTGCTCTGGGCTGTGGAAGCATCAACAGCCTCTGACAGAAGTGAGTAGATGCAGTGAGACAATGGTGTTCATTTAGTCAGCTGAAGTGGATATTACTCAAAAGTGACAAAGATATCGATTTCTAGTCCTAACTTACTTTCTGAGAGAGGTTGAAATTCCTCGACAGGGAAAAGACTGTGCTCGTGCGAAGGGTTTTTGCATCACGATGGATCAGCCGGCCAGCAGCTGCATGCGGAGCGCCCATCCCAGCAGCTCCATCTGGGGCTGCATGAGGAACCCTCACTCTGGGGTCCCAGGGGTGAATCTGCAGTCGCCCTACCAGCAGGCCCCGTTCTCCCTCCACCAGAAGCCTGAGTTCCTGGCCTACACAGATTTCTCCACCTCCTGCCTGGTGTCGAGCACGCCGCACGCAGCCTACCCTCGCGATGACAGACTGTACCAAGAGAGCCAAGGGGGTTACCAAAGAGCTGACTGGCAGTTCAACCAATGTGAGACTCGTGTGAGAGCACCTGAGGCCTGCCCGCCTGTTGCCCCTGCAGTAATAGGTGGCGGCAGCAGTGGGGCTGGAGGGCCTGAGCTGGACAGTGTAGGGGGGGACAGGCTTCCAGGCACCATGCCCGGGTGTATGGAGGGAGAATACTCACCCCAGAGCGTGGCGTCGGCCGATTCGGACAAGAAGAGCTCCAATAAGAGGAAAAGAGATGTCACAGGTAAGCCAGCGACCTGGGATCAAGGGGTGCCACCTGGTGTGTGTTGGTTTAAAAGTATAGGAGAACAGAAAAAACAGTGATCCCTACAGGCATTTGAAAGCAAATAGCCAAATTTAGGAGTGGTAAAAAAAAAAGTAGACATATTGTTTTTGTGTTTAGGGTCTCTGATAAATTTTAGACTAAAACAAAAACAAAAACACTTCCACAATTGTTTTCCTTTAGTTTTTATGCCAAACTACTGCACAGGTGTAAAAACAGATCAACTAAAAACAATATTTACGTCATTCTTACCTCACTGAAAATCAAGAAAATACGCATCAAGGTCAAGAATTCCTCCCGTGCCCTGTATCACAGCTGGCAATGACACAAATTCTCTGCATTTCCTCACCAAATCAGCCTTAAAGCAGCACACTCACACGATCGCTATGTAAAAGGTGAGTAGGTGACGAGACTTTTGTGTTCAAGACACACTTTAAGTAGCAGTTGCATCCTCTTATTGTTCCAGCGCTTTCAAAAGGATGATTCATGAGGCATTTGAATTTTTCATTTTGCTGCTGTATCCGTTGGAAAAAGACCTTTGATTTATTATAGCAGGGCGACATTAAAAATTATGATAAAAAACGAAGTTGGGTGTGAAGAGGAAAGCGTTTAAAGGCCTTTTGGGGATTTTGCGCTGTATTTTTCTCCTGAACACAATCCTGTTGCGTATTGATTGCTGCTATGAATTTTTCAAGCGGATAAAAGGGTTGAAAAAAAACTGTATTTGGTGATATTTCAATGTATTTAATTTAATTTTATACAATTTTTCTTTCCAGATATTTCCTAAAAAAAATTCCCACAAAAAATGACTTAATATATTTTTATTCTCAAACATCAATAAGAAGTAATGCCCTTAGATAATTTCGCCTATCATATTTCACACTTGCTAATAGGACACAAAAGTAACAGACGACAGACCAATCCTAAAAGTTTCAGGCGAAACATTAGCAGCAGAACAACAGGCCAAAGGAAACATTTAGTTTTAAAGTGAATCTAAATGTGTGAAGGTTTTATTATGGGGACTGTCACCCTAGCAAAATAAAAACACATCCAGAACATATGGAGCGTTCATATTTCATTTGTAGACGCTTTTGGTAAATTTAGCCTGTAATAAACACAGTGATTTATGCGTCTTACAGGAAAGAAAAATGAGCATCCATACTTTGGAAAAAATGTAACTTTTTACACATTTTAATATATATTTAAATGAAATTTTGTTATTAGAGCTCAAGCAAGTGTGGCGTAATTGTTATTCATATAGCCAACACTCCACTTGCCAGGCAAATATCAAAGAAATTAAAACAAAAGTTAAAAAAGGGGAACCCAAAACAGAATTAAAAGACCAAGACAAATACAAAAATAACGCTTAAATAAGAGCGATAAGTGTCCAGAAATGTTAATATTGAATTCGAACCACATAGAGAAGTACACTAGTGCATGTTGCTAAAGATGGTGTCATCTAAAGTGTCCAGTATTTAACCCTGACCTGTCCAAACATAACAGACCATGCCTGAATGTAAAGCGTGCAAATTTGGAAATACTACATGACCAATGCATGCAACAGACATGAGTCTAATTGAAAAAGAGGAGGTGAGGGAGCACCCCACACACCCACTCCACCACCCTCCTTTTTTTTACCTTATTGTAACCTCCACTCTCTACGCTGAAAACATGCCAGACCACGTCTGGTAAAATCACTTTCCTGTGAGCCCACTTCTTACATTCTTATCCATTGACATTTTCCTGTCGTTAAGCCGTAACATAATCTCCCACTGAGTGCATGCAACATGTCTGACCACTGCATCAGTTCTGGGTTTTAGAAAAGAACCATTCACTTTTTCGAATTGACTAGCTGGTAGGAGAGCATATATTAGGAAAATGTCCTGAAGGCATTCACATTACATGCACATACATAGCAGCTGCTATACGGTCTGCTTCTGTGTATTTGTTCTGATATGGAAATGTGGTGCACTCGGGTAAAGTTTCCAAATGTTTAAAACCAAAATGATATGATCTGACATTGACTGCAATCCAAAATTTGACCATCATAACACTGTGATATTTAACAGGGATGCTGTTATAAACATTTGACTGTTGCTGGCCCTAAAATCAATATGGTTTTGATATTAAATTTTAAGGTCTGACATGCATGAAAAGGAGTTCTTCACCATTACAAAATGAGCGTGTTAACACTTAACACAGTAACTGTTAGCAAATATACTTCCTCTAACAGCTCGGATGGTTTTGCTACATGCATTTTGATGCTTTTTAGGTAGGTGTAAAAATGTTTTTTAAAAAAATATTTTTTAAAGCTGCTGATTTTGATTAAATGCAGCATGATCTGCACAAATGTACATCATACCTAGGGGTCCATGACCATAAGCCAAGTGTATAAAATAGAAAAACAGAAAATTGTGCTCAGTTACTGGAAATGTACAACCATAAAATCTTTGGCTTGATAGAAAGATATACTGTTGCCCATTGCATCACAAGCTTATGAAGTATTTTGGTTAAAATATCTTAGAATACAAATAGTTTGCAACTATATGCTTAATCTCTATTAGGATTAGGACGATGAATGAGGTTCTTGGTAAATGTTATTCCTTTAATAAATGCCTAGTAAGTTTGAGCACCATTCTCATAAAGTGCTGTAATAAGAAATTAAACATTTATTAACTGAGAACAGTTTAAAGACGCTATCTAAAGGGGTTAAAATAAACGTTAGCCAATAAACTGTCTTGAACTTTAGCACACACATTTTTGCGATCAGTAGTTTTCGCCTGGGGTTTTCTGCTTTAAAACAATCACTAATTTACAACAACTTTAATTCAGTCCTGATGAAGACAAACTCCTTTTGCACCATCCACCCAGAAAGGCACCAAATGCTGTTTGCCTTTGGGAGACCCTGCTGTGTGCAGAAGCCCTCTCCCTGCTAGTTTATGGCCTCTGGCTGTGCAGGATATTTATTGGGGGCCTGTTTGGTGAGAGCCAGTATGTGCCCTGCCAGGTGTTCAAAGCAGCTAAACCTGTCTTGGGAAATTTCAAAAGTCGGCACACTTGAGGATGCCCGTCGTTATTGATTCTTGAACCACAAAAACAAATCTTCTTTTTTTTCCTAACAAACCACATGGCACATCAGGCGTTTGTACACAAAAACTACACGTGTGCACAAACACTGTATGTCCTGGTTTGCCCAGTCACATCTGGCCCAGGTGCTGCAGTCCATTTCACATTCTGGCACACTGCTCTGGCAAGCACAGAGCAGAACTTCTCACTTTGACAAATTAGAACCATTTTCTGGTGATTACATCAGCTGCTGGTGTCTCTACCCCTGCACAATTATTACCGAAACTCATTCCCTTCAATACACAGGAGAGGTTTTACTTAAAGGTAAATCAACCAGCTTTCATATATGTTTATCCTGTTAATGAGGTTTAAATTTGGCCATTTTTCTAAGCTATGTGAGAAATGCAGGGAAATATATAAATTTATAAACTGCAGCCAATTATTTCTTGAATAATCTTAGGCAGTGGGTTTTCTGACTGCCACATTCACAGATATATCTCAAGACTTTTTTCTGATGCTTGCTGTCATGTAAAGATGAGTTAATGTGAATCTGCCCCGAGCGCTCCCACGGGGACTGTTCTGACACACACACCCACACCGACGTAGCACTCCGACCTGGACACATCCGCACCTTTGTTCTTTTGTTAGAGGCTTTAACGATGTTCCGCTGCATTCCTCCACTAACTTAGGCCCTCTGTGGCTGGTTTGGTGGCCCCTGCCCTGTGCTGATACGCTCTTACATACATAAATCGCGAAGGAATGTTTAGAGGAAGACATTTGCACTTACAGCATGTGTTCATGAACAGACAAATAAGGGGAAATAAGCAGCAAAAAATAACCACGGCATGCGCAGGTTGCAGGTGTACGCGACTCGTGAGGCCAGGTCATGGTGGTCTCTTTTAAAAGTGCTGGTTTTAGTGTTTACTATATGAGGGGCCACCCTTTAAAGAGCCTTTGGAGTTATGGTTTGTTGGTTGAAAAGGGTCTTGAGGTCAGTTTAATTGCGAACTAGAGGCCAGTCACAAAATGAGTAGGGAGCTAATTTAAATGAGATTAGCTGTGAATGATAGGAAAATGAAGGGTCTCCAGGTCAAGTAGCACACTTGCATGTGTAGCTGCTTGTGAAGAAAAGGGATGCTGATCATTTTTATTTAGTTTTAAACAAAAAAATTATGGGATCGTACAGATCATTTATTACCTTCACTGCAAACAGCTTTAAAGCATTGGTTTCCTTGTGTCACCTGACTTTCCCTTTAAGTTGATCCAAACAGACTCATAGAGAAAGCCATCAACACAGCTTCTTAATGTTCAAATATTCTTATCTGAATTCATGTATACCACTGTTCCTTATTGAGCACTTTCAGCTGTTTCTGTATAATTTTCTCTTCAATCTTTTAACATATATTTAGCAAATTTCTTTATTGTTATTCATGATTTTAGCAGAAAATTAGCTATAATTTTCAATTTATTCATTTTAGCTTGCTATATGAACTATTATTATTATTGTTAAACTATGTACAATATTTAGTCTGGGCACAAAATTATTTGTAATTATAGCCAATTTCTTATATTAGTCTATTATTTATCTAGGATGTTAAGTTAAAATTCTATTTGATGATCCACATTTTAACTAACAATTTCAATTTGGTAGCCATCCTATTAACTAAGAAAATATTCATAACCTTAGCTTGCCATTGAAACTATTTTTCACAATGTTTAGCTAGCTAAAGGTATTAACTGGCAGACACACCAACACGCAGAACCTTCTCATTTTTACTGATAATTTTAATCTTTTAAAGTTTCGATTCTTATTGGCCATTAGGCTTACTCTTCTATTTTACTGATTTATGCCGTTATGTTGGCTGGATAGTGGCTCCCTTGTGTAGTGGTTAATATTTTCACATAACCTAATACACGAAAGGTCTGCAATTCAAAACTAGGAAGAGAGACAAATCCTTGGAAGGGTTGCATAAGAAAGGGCATCTGGTGTAAAAATCTGTGCCAAATCAAATATGTGGATCCACCCACTGTGGCGACCCCTTGGGAGCAGCTGAAAAAAGCTATGCCTTTACTTTGACTTTTGATTAATAGTCATTTCTTCACTCAAACCCCAATTCATAAATAGTTCTTTTTTTTTTCATCTGTCGACAAACCCATTAGAGCACTTTGACACCTGATTGGGAATCTCTGGTTTAAAGGAATAAACTGGCAAATGGCTCGCACTCTATGAAATGCCTTTCTCTTTCCAGATATCCAGGAGTCCAGCTTTAAGGTGGATTCCAGCTGCAAGGCAAGAAAAGAGCGCACAGCATTCACCAAGGAGCAGCTGAGAGAACTGGAGGCAGAGTTCACCCACCATAACTACCTGACCAGGCTGCGTCGCTACGAGATCGCTGTAAACCTGGACCTCACAGAGAGACAGGTACAACACTTTTCCCTAATATACAATTTCCAGTAGGGCAGGATGAACCATAATGTTATCATTCCACATCAACATCATACAACATCTTGGAACATATTGGAAAGCCTTAATGTCTGTCCTTCCCCTGTACTAAATACCAATGCATAAACACAGAGGCATTTGAAGTACAATGAACATGTTTTTTCCACAGTAGTTTTCATTCTGTGGTTCTAGCAGAATGACATGCAGCTTTAATGAGTGGGTGGCAGCTCCAGACTCGATGAAATCGGGCGAACATGTGTCGATGCTGCTGGATCAAACCCCGGTCTGCTTGTCAAGCCACTGTCCCTCTCAGCTCCTTCTAATGAGGCCGTGGTGCCACAGTGACCACACATGCTGCCGTCTGCTCCTAAATCTATTTCCCAGATCCCTAAAACACACACACACATACATGGACAGAAATATTCACACACAGCCAGGTTCCATCTTCGCTCAGGGCTCCCACTGCAACCAGACAGCGCTTTCCAATTCATCCTACATGCTTTGGCAGTTTGCCGTCCTTTCAATCAGTCCTGAGTAATGGACAGACTGAGGTTTATCTGAATCCCAGAGCTGTAGGGGAGGACACTTCTAGTGGGATGTGCAGGGGTCACCTAAGGCTTCCTTGAATTGTGCACACACAGGTTGGAGTTAATTTGAATCTATTTGAGAGAGTTTAGTTTATAATTTTAAGGGAAATAAACCTGTGCTTTTGTCTGCAAATTGACATAATCAAGTAGTTTAAAAGCATAATAACTGCGTATGCATAGCCTGGTTATAACTTAAGGTTTATTTGCTTTAAAATGCATGTATTTCTCTCTGCCATGGAGCATCCCACAAACCATTCTTCTGTTGTAAATACTCACTACCGCACCAAATCCGCAGCTAACAATAATCTTCAAAGTGTATTGTTTCCTCCACTGTGAATAATGTTAACTAAAATGTACAGGCCCCAGCTGTTTGAGGAACCAACTGTATTAGACACCTACTGATAAAGGCTTAAGTAAGACATTTTCTAAAGCTTTAAATAAACTATCTTGGTCACAGACTTAACAAATGCTCACTCTTCATTTTTTTTCCTGTCATTTTTTCTCTGTAATTTCCCCAGGTCTCGGGAAGTGTGTGTTTTTGCAGCTATTTATGTCTGGATAGTTAAAATATGAGCTCATTCTCATTTTTGAACAGCACAAAGATACAGATGAGCACTGTCCACACCACAAGTACAGTAAACTCACATCCTGTGTAGGCTGACTTCCTGACAGTTGACTTTTTTGACCTGCTGTCTATACGATACTCTCTCCCTCCATTTGGAGTGATTTTGCAGCCAGGCCTCAGTGCTTTGTACTGACAAGCCGTGCTCCCTGCAAGGCCAATGCAAACCAAGTGAATTTATAATCTGTGCTGGGAGATTTGTGGAGGATTATTTGTCTATTTTTTTGCTGACTGTGTTGTAAATTTTGCTAAAAATTGCAAACTGGAGAGAAAAGCCACAGTGATCCTGTTACACGTTCAAATGTGGTGAAAAATTCAAAGTACTGTGAGAAGGGTATCTGGTTTAGATTTGTATTGTATTTGTATTGATTTGTATCAGCCTTTATTCGTAGTGCTAAGTGTTTATACTACTAGAGATACTATTGTTCTTTTCAATTAATGATCTATTCAAATCTAAAAACTGATCACAAAAGACAAAGAATACTGTGAAATCAACCTTTGACATCTTAGCAATTTTGCCCCTAATCCACAATTAACTACATTAATTTACCTCAACAGTGTATCCATGCTAACGACTTTGAGGAGTCATCATTCTATATGTTAATTTAATATTTCCTGTGTTTTTTCCACTACAGGTTAAAGTTTGGTTCCAGAATCGGCGAATGAAGTGGAAGAGAGTGAAGGGAGGACAATCGGCTTCGCCCAACGAGCTGGAAAATGACGACATAGACTCAGCTGCTTCACCCAGCTCTGAATGATGTTTTTAAAAAATTGTCTTCGGACAAAAAAGAAGAAGAAAAAAAATAACGAGGCCTGCGCTCAACTGGACACCAACGCAACCTTTGATTTTATGGAAAGTTGGCTCCAGGAACCAAATAATTCCAGAGACTTTTTCATTCCCAAGAAGAAAACACCAAGCATCCGTCACTGTTTTCTGTTGTAAATAGTTGATTTATGTCCATAATGAACTGTATTTTCATACAACTTTGATAAATACTCCATTTAAGAGGCCCACTCTTGATACTCCTGATCGTTGTATATTAGTGACAAAGTCCATACAGCAGCTTTAAGGCTAGTGATGACATATCAGGCCATGATGTGATTGTGTTTGAGGTCCTCCCCTTTGCTTCCAGTATTGTAATCATGGCCTTTGACGCTTGACTACAACCACCTGGGAAAACTCAGACTGCACGAGTGTTGCCAAGGCCTAAGTGCCTCCGAATCAGATTTTTCTTTTTTTTCATTTTGAGAGTTTCTTTTTCCTAGAATATAGTTTTTTGGGTTTTTTTCTTTTCAGTAAGGCATTTTTACTATGTTTTATACCATTTGAATGTTGTTGATAAAACACAGATGTTGACTGTTTCTGCAAATAAAATAAATCATCTGTTGCAAAATGGGAAACATATTGGTAATTTCTTCCACCTGCAACAGTTGAGTTATGACTGGACAGTAGGTACAGTAGATGTGTATTTTTGGCAGATGGTTTTATTATGTGTGACTATAATTCCTAAAAGCAAAATAATTACTGATAGTTCAGTTTGCTTCCATTTGCTATTTTTGTTGGCAGGGGAAAGCAGAAGTATTAAATAGTTTGCATGTGTGTGCACTTAATGGATGCAGCGAAATATTGTAGCTATATCAAACACTGTGGTGCACTTATTGGTGGTTGTTTAAACTATCAGTGTTTTGTACCATGATTTAAAATGATGACTCTTCTTCTTGTGCAAGGGCTAAAGAAATAGCACACAAAAAAAATATTTTTTTGCTAAATCTAACAAACAAAACTGCACCAATCAATATTCTTAATCGGTCCGTTTATCAGTGAGTGTACAATATAATGCAACCAAATAGGAATGAACTCATAAGCCTGTCCTTTGACCATGTAGTCGAAGAGCAGTTTTTAATTTTAATGTTTTTAACATGACAAACAGGAAGCATGATTAGTTATGAGCCACATGGCCTTGTGTACTAAAGTCAACACCCTGCAGCTCCTGTTTGCATGCTGCATATATGTGCCAGCTGTGTGAACACTGATTAAATATACACAGGACAGTGTTGTTCTATGGTATTGGGCTATTTTATGTCAGATTATATACCTGAGCATTGCTCTGACAAAAACATTGACCTGATCATCAAATTTATCAATGCTATCTACTGCCTACTTGTGTTTTTTTGCCTACTACTGTAGCACTTTTATTTCAGACTTTTTAAATTCTTGGCTAAATTTAACTTGCAAGATAGCCCGTTCAACCACTGTTTTATAAATAACGGCTATAGTAAGCAAAACTGAAACTGAAATCCACACTGGTGACGTTGAAACCGGAGACCTGAGAAACTGAATAACATTCCTCACTCCAAGTGACTAAGAGTGAAATAATCACTGATGACAGCAATTGGGTGGGACCAAGAGAAACCTTTCTCAACTTCCAAGCAATTGCAACAACTACCAAATACAGCAAGGAATACAGCTGATTGACATATGACCTGGTAGTAAATATGTTAGAGGATTACACAGGCAATCAGGGCCTGCAATGTCCACAAGCATCCAGCTGTCAGCTGCAAAGCGGCGTGCAATTAGCAAACCATTTCCAGTATGTAAGAGGCTTAAAGTTGGGCAACTTCTGAGCTAGCTGTAACTTAGCTGCCACAGCCACTGTTGTGTATTTGTGACTGGCTAAATAGGCCAATCACAAATACACACACACATAAAAAAAACATGCCTTGTGCTGTATTAATAGTAATGCATAATTTTTTTTACCTTGGTAAGGAGGAAAACAAATCCTGTTATTGCTAGCTTTTCCGACTTTGCGATTAGAACTCGCTCAACTTGTGAGTGATGTCATTCCCAGCTCAAACTTCCGAGGTAAACGGAATGCAAATCTAAAATCCGGATAGTTTTTGTTTTTGGAGAGTTTGTGTTGGAATTTGCATTGGAACCTGTGTTGCACTTGGAGCCGGTCATTTGTTGACATTAGCGATTGTTCCAGTTAAAAGCTAACATTGGCTAATGTTGCTAATGAGTGTTGGAAGCTGGAAGTGGAAGAGAAGTCTTGACTCAAGGTAATTAACAGCAAGCATGAACATCACATGCTTTGGATATTCATGGCAATTCACATAGAAATACGCATAGAAATAACACTGGCTGTTTCTGTTTTTTATGGTTAATCCATTCACATCGCCAATAAAAGTGTTTAATCCACAAAAATGCTGCTAACACAGCCCTAATGTTGCTTTTGGCCTTAGTAATTTGGTGCATTCACACTGATGCCATGCCTTATTTTCAGCAGCAGGCAGTCTCCTACATACAAAGTCATTTTGTGTGAACATGATGTCAGCCTGAATTATGAATTCATTTATTTTGATAATGAGGCTAAAAGCATTCATGTAAGTGTGCAGATATGTGTGCATTGTGACCTCATGGGCAATGGTTACATGGTCCCAAGTGCAGTGAAACAGTTACAATATAAGAGGGTCCCTCCAAGAAAACCTCATCAAGAAGGATTATGTAGTCCATGGGCAGTCCTGCAACCTTCAACGTCCCACCTGATGATGGCATAATTATCTTCATTAATATCGCAAATGCAGGTCGGATATCCCTGAGGTCAGATTGGAATCAGCTCTCATCAACGCCCACACAGATCCTGTCTATATAGCACGGTAATCCTTAAGAATGTTTTCATAGTGGCAAGTGGTCTCCCGTAGACCCAACACAGATCACGATGATTGGTCTACAGTGACCTGAAAAGCACTGGCAGAGCTATAAGTAGATGTGAGTATGTTTGAGCGTCTGAATAGGAACATTCATTTTTGCACACCATCACTGTCATTCCAGTGAGCTCACAAAGGGTCATTAACCTGACAAGGTGGAGTCAAGCTCCAAAAGCTAAAGTATTTGGCCCCTACACACTATTTTCAACGGAAGCATCTGGATGGGGCCAATTTGATCTCAACCTGAGTGGAACCTAGACAAACCCACGCACGGGGCCCTGAGGACGAGAGGAAAAAAAAGAAAGAAGGAGAAAAAAAAATGCTGGCTGACCACTTGTGTATGATGGAAAAGGGAAATAATAGGTGGGTATGGGTGAAAAGACGCCTTCTCAAGTACAGGATGTTGTTGTAGCAGGTAGCCAGTCATCCAATTTCCTGCTTCCCAAAGAAAACAAGAGCTCGAGCATAGGAGTCCTCAGACTTACAATGGTGGGCCTATGCTCAGACTCCGGCCAACCAAACAAAGCCTTCAGAGGTTACTGCCCTTTTTGCTGGTCTGCAGGGACCGGAGTTAGTGGGAGGGTGGGATGGTTGTTCCACACACATACACAGAGTTGGGGTCAAGTGTTACTGTACGTCTGACCCCTTTGGGCCCCCCGCTGCAGCTGCTGGGGGGGAATTACTCCAAGTCGATCCCGTGCCCATTTCCCCCCCATTGCTTAGCCTCTATTAGGGTCTATTATTGTATTAGTGGTAATAGCAGTCAAAATAAACCATGTCCAATTGTAATGATAGTATTAATATCAGCAGTGTAAACTAATGAAGCTGGAATGTTGTTTTTTGACCATGGTGGTTCCTTTTAAATACACTGGGGTGGCCAAATTTATGGATTAGATTTAATTTGGTGGTGTTGTGATTGTGGGGTTTTTAGCCTTGCCAAAACACCCAAGCAGTCAGAATGAAATAGGTTTTCCTTTCCCCTTCGATCTGCAGGAGAACAGTTCATCTATACCTTAACAAATATGTCTAAACATATTTTCTTACACTGCTGTTTTCCTCTACACCGTGTTCTATTTTTATTTATATAATACGACTTGTAGATGTGCAAATTGAGAGAACACATTTCTAAGAATATCACTCCAATGCTGCATCCAGCTGACAGTCGACCAAATTGAAGCCACCAAAAATAAGGATGGATGGTGTCCCAGAAATTTCTTCTCTGCTGTGATTATAAAAGCAGATTCAGTTGCAGGAAACATTCTTGAAATAACTCCTCTTCTTTGAACACAACCTTCTCTGTGGGCAAAGAGCAATAAGAAAACATTCGTCAGAGTTTGAAGCAGTCACTGACCTCACCCTCAGCACTCAACAGGCATATTCTTAACTTTCAACATACGGAAGGTATTGCCACTAAAAGCACAGATTACCAGAGATTTCAGCCAAATGCAGAATTTAAGCGAGCTCTCCAGCAGACCACGTCACCAACACAAAGCTAAAAATGTTGCATTTATGGACAAATTCAACATGCAGCTGTACTACAACATTTCCATTTTTACAGATTTCCAATTGTGAGTCATTCAGCTAAATGAAAAAAGATGGCACACACCTCAAAACCTTTAAAAATATAGGTGATGACAGCCTAGTAGTTATTTAGTAGTTATTGGATTGAAGCATAATTCAGTTCACTGTCTATAATTCAACATTATCTAAATGATGCAGAAGGGTTACATGACAGACTCTTTTTTGTGTTGTTGATTTTTTGTAAAGTGGACATTTCAGATGTTTTTCCAACTGACTTTGATCATTTTGTTGTGAAAAGCCAAGCACACTATATCACCAGAGCAATACTAAAGCTAATTATCATCTTCATATGCATTTCAGAACTTAAATCCAAGTCCTTATTAGCTTTTTGGAGATCAGCAGAAATATTTTTGTATATAGCAAATACGTTTTTAAAAAAAAATTTAATTCTATTTTCTATTAGTTTCTTTCTTTTTGGGGGCCTCTTGTTTATGTCTGTGCTGTTGTCATCGGTCCACAACTTCCATTTTAAGTGGGAAGTCAGAAATCCAGAGTTCCCAGTCAGTCTAAGCAGAAAAGCCTATACCTCTGTCTCTCTACCCGCCTCTTCAAGCTCATTCAAGGCGATACCAAGGCTTTCCTATGCCAGATAAAAATATAATTCCTTTAGTGTTTACTGGGTCTTCCCTGGAGCCTCATTCCACTAGGACAAGACAGAAACACCTCACCCAGAAGGTATCCAGGAGGCATCCTACTCAGATCTCCAGGGAGAGCCCAGCCACACTTCTGAGGAAACTAATCTCCAGCATTTCTATACACAATCCTATTCTTTCAGTCACTACCTGGAGCTCATGGACCGCAGGTCCCAGGAGGTATTGAGTCAATAGCTTCATTGCATTAATTTGAGACCTGCTCAATAAGCCATACACTAGTTTTCAGCACAAAGAAATGGGCATTGTGCTGTACTCCAGTGCTACTGGTAGATGAACAGCTGTAGCTTGCTAGGAAGCAAGAAAAAACTATATTGACTATATTGCTTTTCTGAATACTATTACTACTTGTGATGTCACTCCCAGTACCTTCATCTTCCCAGGTAAAAGGAACACAGCAAAAAAATATAACAAACGTCTTGGTAGAGAATTGAAACCGAGTGGCAAACAGAAT